TATTTTTATTAATTTTATAATAAAACAAAGTAGTATTTATTTATTACATTTTTATAACAAAAGCAATTCAAAACAAAGAACTCTTCCAAATCACACTTACAAATAATGTTTAGATCTATTAAATCATATTTTATACTCTATTTTTATATAATTACATAATATTTTACAAATATACAAAAAAATTCCAGGTTTTACCCAAATTGCGAAATATTAATGTAAATTTCATAAATTATTTATATTATAAATTTTATAATAATTTTTTATAGTTTATAAGTCCTGAGCGGTAAATGCCATTCAATAGACAAAAAAAAAGTGTTGCGGCGCTCACTTGTCAGTACACCATCTGAAGCAACACATCCACCAAAATATATACTCAACAAAATTTTTAAAATAAACAATAATTGATCATAATTTCCTTTTTGAGAGCTTAACTCAACCCAACATTTAGTTTTTATATACATTTTGTATTTATTTACTGATTGATTGGTTTTTATATAAGATTATCTTAAATATTTTTCAACCGTTACATAAAATTTGACCAAATATTTAATGTGAAAATATTTATAGAGGTAGTACTAAAAACACATTTTATACCATTTTTAACTTTTTTTGTATTTATTTGTGTTTACAATTAAATTATAGTTGAAATACGCGATGAAATACGCAAAGTCTGGATGGATTGCGTTTGTCTCGCAAATCAAATGGATGCAAACTTTGGGATTAATTTTGCTTCACTTCGGAGCACTTTATGGCATATATAGTGCTGTAAAGAGTGGCAAATGGCAGACAATTGTCTTTGGATACATTTTAGGTGATGTCCACCATAATAATATAAAATAGTGCCATCATTATTTATTATGATGTGTTAACAATTAAACTGAATCCACCAGGGGTATTTTCGGCTATCGGGACACTAATGGGTGCGCATCGATATTACACCCACAGGAGCTTCAAAGCCAAGTGGCCGTTACGGCTCATACTGTGTGTTATGCAAACACTGACGGGTCAGAAGTCGATCGTGAATTGGGTCCGCGAACACCGAACGCACCATCAGTTTACCGGCACTGACGCCGACTGCGTTAACATTGAACGCGGCTTTTTCTTCGCACACATGGGTTGGCTAATGACTGAAACACATCCAGAGTGTGAGCGCCGGATGAAGGAGTGCAATGTGGACGACCTCCGCACTGACCCTATGATCGGCTTTCAATACACACACTACTGCACGCTCTACGCTCTCATCAATGTTATAATACCCACTATTTTGCCGTATTATTTGTGGGGCGAAACCATTGAAAACGGCTTTTTCGGCGCTTTTATGCTAAGATATGTTTATACACTTCACGTCTCGTTTTGCGGTAATATTTAAGTTGTGTTTTATTTTTAATTAATAATACATTAATTTTATTATTCTTTATGCGCCTGTGATGTGAAGGCAATTCTGTGGTCCACATGTGGGGTACAAAACCCTACGACAAGACAATTAGTGCCACACGTAATGAATCCATTATTTTCGCCACTTTAGGCGGAGCTTATCATAACTATCATCACGTCTTCCCGTTTGGTATTATTATATTTTCAACATTTTTACTATAAATTGTAAAATTAATTCATTACATAATCTATACCATAGACTACAGCGCCAGTGAGTTTGGCTTTGAATCCAATTTCAATTTCATGACAGCAGTGATAGACTTGTGTGCGACCATTGGTTGGGCCTATGATCTGAAGAGAGCGCCGATAGATATGGTTCTTAAACGCAAACAAAGGACTGGAGATCACAGCGATTTAGAGGACAACTCCCGTCCCAATCCACTCTTACATTGGATTTATGGCCTAATATTAAGCGCATCCGTTCTCTGGATATTGTTCTCATTGAGAATAATTAATTATTACATAAATATAGTGTAATTACCCAATGATTAAACATATAAATTGTATATTTCTAGAAAACTCTTCAACAATAAATTTCAACATTAAAGTTACCACAAATTGTTACAAAAATTAATTTTTAAAACAATAAAACTAAACTTCACACACATATACTGCACGTCCAATATAATGGCCTGGGAATAGAAATTCTCGGCATTTGATTCAAAGACAAACGAGATTATGTCCAGCGATGACACGAGCTCTGATCCAGACTACAATTCGGTCTATAGGGCGGGTGTCGGCCAATCAGGTCGACCTCTGGGACCTCAAGGGATTGGCAGAGGATTATTCT